TACGACGACCATCGCCACCGCCTAGACCATCGGCCATACACGTTTTAATGAGTGTGACAGACAGCAATGCGACAGTGAACTCTATTCATATCAACTATAAGTTGAAGTTTAGAGCTCACTGTCTCAAGCACGACACACGATCGACACCAGATATTATATAATGTGTTTTATATTATTATATCTATTGAATAGTTCATGATTAAATTGTGTTAATCCAATAATTGAGATGCTTTTTTATTTTGACCGTACTCCGCTGAGACGTCGACCACGTATGTATTCACTTGTCTGTGTGTGTGTCTATTTCGATGTTTGCGTGCACTGTCACTGTATTTTACCCATGTCATTTTGACGTTCACTTCTGCATGATGCCTGCCCTATCAATCTGTCATTGAAAAGATGCCACCGTCAGGAGGTATAGTTGTGGCGCCTTTTCGAAATTATTTCCGTGCTGTTTTATAAGGCTGGCTTATAAGCTAATTCCCTTGGCTCTAGAACTAGTAATTTTCAGATTTCATAACATTTTAATCACTAACATATTCAATAGTCGCATGAAATTATCAGAATATGAAATTTGACAAAATATGCTAAATATGTATTAAAATGTTTCTATTTAGTAATAAAATAGGAGTTTTGAATATCTCAGCATGTACCATAGGCCAAATATTTAAAGTTTCAGATATATTAGTGTTTTTACAAATAAGACGTTTTATACTCTAAATAATCTAATGAAATGAAATCTAGATCTCCCCTTATTCACTTAGAAAGTAGCTAGTGTACGAAAAAGGGTTTTCAAGTAATTTTTAAGAGACTAATTCTCTTTTTTAGAAATCTATTATTCCACCTTTAGAATTAAAAACGCAATATGTGATACTTGGCTAAACATATAATGAGTAAATGTAAGAAAAATTTTGCTGCTTTAAAGAAAAAAGTAAGTACTATGAAATTATAGATAACAAAGTGACACAAAACAATGGAAAAATTTTCAGCAACAATGTGGTTGTACGTGTCGTATGTATTCGATACAAATAGGTAGGTACCAATGAGATAAGTGCCTACATAATATCTATATAGGTACAAATTGCTTATTTTGTATGATGTTTAAAGCGTAACAATTACTGCAATATGCAAAATAATAAATAATACTTGACACTTTATAATAAGTAAGTATAGCCAAATAAAAAAAAACTGAGTTTTTGACGTCTAGGAAAAAAAAATTGTGCAATAGGAATGACCTCCGGATCGAATTTCGTGACATGACGAAAGAGCACGCAGTCTACCTGATGGTAAGTGGATGCTGTGACCCATAGACATTAAAATGCAGATGCGATACCTCGATTCCAGTAAAAGGGGTATCAGGTTCTCGACACTCACAATACGAAACACAGCAGTATTATTCTCCTGTTTCGTGCTAATATTCTGTGAGAGTCCTAACCCGATCGGGCTAATTCATTCGGACTACGGCTATATATATATAACGGAGACTAACCATGACTAGTCGTGGCCGTTGGCAGGGCCTCGGAAATGCTTTCGCACACATCCGTCCCACCAACGTAGGCCACACCATGGCGACCCTCCTTGGGAGTGGACTACTCCTTCCCGTCTCGTAATTATTAATTATGTTACTTATTTAACTTCATATTTACATTACGATGTATATATAAGTCTGAGGTTTTCTCTACCAGTCAATCTTGCACAGCGGCATTACAATAATATTGCTGAAGTCTAGAATCAGGGTCGGTTGTCCTTTTCTCGCATATGTTCAACGTCTTTGTTAGAAAGAGAAGTACCTACCAAGACTGTAGTAACGGACTGTTATTTTGAACAGATTTTTGAAACTGTTATTTTAGTGGAACTGAAACAGGCGAAACAGATATGCGATTTTACCTGTTCCAGCCCACTACTAGCTCATAGTCCCCGGTATTGGCGGTCTTTATTTTTTTTTTACCCCGATAATGTCATTAGGTAAACCGGTCGGTCGGGGAGTAAAGCAAAATATAACTGAAACAAGTGTCAATCCAAGTCACAATTATGTGGTCCAAAAATAGTAGTGTATAAAATTGATGAATAGTTTAACTTTTGCCTTTTCAATACTAACAGTAATAACTGTTTTGACTTCTCACATATTCACATTGAAAATTAATTAATAAAATATATACATAATATGTCACTATAGAAGTACCGAATACATACGATACTATTAACAATTAAACAATTAATTAAATGTTATCTGTGCGCTTGTTGAATGTGTTTATGGTGTCAATAAAAATCCCTTAAAATGCAAGTATTTAGATTATGTATGTGTTGGTGTATGTGGCATTTAAAAATCAGCAGCAAAATTATATTTACCTAATATTTAAAGCTGTTAGACTTTTATAATTTATCTAAAGGCTTTCGATTAAACATAATATATACCGCTGTTTCAGAAATCGCTCCAATACATCACCAGCAAATGTCTCCTATTCGATCGTTGAAAAAGAGCGACTCGCCTACAAGCCTGAGCAAACGCACGGATAAAACTCCCACAACACCTATAAGCCTGACTCCAATCGACGAAACAAAGGCTTTGGATATGAATAATGTAAATGGCATTAACGGCGTTAACAGTAACCAATTAACACCCGAGACACCAGTACAAGAAACTATAAAGGAAAAAGAGGTCATCAAAAAAGCTATTGAGGCTACTCAGAAAGCCCCAGGTGTGGTGGACACTACCGTTGTCAATGAGACGCCCAACACTGGTGGATTGACAGCAGCTGAGGTCCTTGACAGGGCTCGTAACAGATTCGATAAGTTCTGGGGAAAGAAAGAAGAAGACACTGTTTAATGTTACTCCAGTCACTTTCTAATTGCGTCTTGATGAATTGTGACAGTTGAAAATATTTGCTTAACGAGACATAAACTCAAGTATGAAGCTGAATACTATATTAAAATAGTTTATTTTCAAATGTATACCTGGCAAAACATTGCACCCTCATTATTTTATTTTCAAAATGTCACAATTTTCATTGAAACTTTAGAAAATGTTATGCAGTATTTAAATCAGAAAGCTTCGCTTTTTAACTATGACTTATTGAATTTATAATTTATAACGTAAGTACCTATTTATTTCATATGAATAATAATACAAAACCAGGCGAAGGAACAGGAGTGTGGTGGCTTATCATATAGTATTCGTAAATGTATCAATCGGATAAGGATATTTAGAATGATGATTTTATATAATTCTGTATCGAATTTTTGGACTTAAATGTAGGTACCTAAGGTTTTAAGTCGTAAAATTAAAAACAGGTGAAATTATTTAATATGCCTTTTATCGTTTAGTGAGGCAGGCGGGTACTTAAAAATATCTTAAAATGGGCGTAGACACGCAAAAAGTATCATTCCACACGCGAAACCTAAAGTAAATGAATATTATGACAAAATAATTCTTAGCTATAACCCCTAAGATTTAATACAAGTGGTTAAAACAATTCCATCTTCTGACGTGGTAGAGCCATGCTGCAGCTATATTACTGGTATAGTTGTAGCACGAATGGGTCGGCTCGACCGGGGAAGGACCACGCTCTCACAGAATACCAGCGTAAAATAGCAGCTTAATGATGCTGTGTTTCGTATGGTGAGTGTAGAGAACCGGAGACCCGTTTTACTGGAAATGAGGCATTCCATCTTAGTCCTCACGGGTGACAACACATCTGCATTTTGATTCGTAATCGAGGATAGATGCAGATGTCTATGGGCCACAGCAACCACTTACCATCAGGTGGACTGTGTGCTCGTTTGTCACCCTTATACTAAAAAAAATCCAACAAAAGTCACAAGTATGCGTCGATCATACCTAGTGACTTCTCGTTTTTCAGAACAATCATTGACAAAACTACCCTTTTGCGGATTATATCCTTTTTGAATAGTCTACGTCTCATTTTTTCTTCACTTTTTTTTTTAAAGAATAAATTTATATACATCACTGTTTTTCAATTTACTTTTTTGTAGTGTAGCATTACTTACATCGTATGATATTATAAGTTTAAGTACATAAGAAGGCCATTCACGTAGCGATGGTCGAACGCACGATCTCACGAACTTTAGTAGCTATGCATTCCGTACGATCAAGGTCATGTCGAAGGTTCAGTAAAATGTTTTTTAAAGTGAGTGTTGATTTTGGAAAGGACAGTATATGTGTCATAATTAGAAATTGTCAATTAAAAAGTTAAAAGAAATTTATGACCGAAATTATATCGCCGTACGAAAGAAATTCGGGTTTGTAGTTAACGCAGACTAGATAATATATATATATATATATATATATATATATATATATATATATATATATATATATATATAAACACTCACGCCTGTCACCCAGAGGGGTAGGCAGAGACTACGGACTTCCATTTGGCGCGATCCTGACACACCTCTCTCGCCTCTTTTACATCCATATATCTACGCATACACGCTCGTCGGTTAAGGGTACTCCTAATCTGGCCCATTTTTAATGTATCGCCGATTTGGTCGATAAACCTTCGTCTAGGGCGTCCCTTCCCGACCCTGCCGTTCACTTCCGCAACATAAATTTGCATTGTCACTCTTTCCTCGTTCATTCTTTCTACATGACCAAACCACCGAAGCATTCTTTTCTTAATCCTTGTCACAACGTCATCTTTAGATAAGGCATAGAGTAATCTACAACTTAGAAATTCTCTTTGGATTTTTTTCGAAAATACCGAATAGTATTCTCCGAGACTGGCAAAAAATTGTAACGAGAACTGCGTTTGGAAAAAGATTTCTTTTATATTAAGCCACAAATTCCAATAATGCTATTAATAATGCAGATTTTCTCTTTAACATTCATATTGTAATAACTTACGCAGCAGAGCACACCCTTTTCTACAAATATTGACATGATATTCATCGCATTCGCGGATCATCCATGTGGCCAAAATGCAACGCATGTGTGCTAATCGTGTGCTAATGTTAAGCTACGATAGTTTGATCGACGGTCCGTACTACAATCGCTGTGTGAATGGAATGCCCCTAAAAGAGACTTTTCTTATGCAATTCTATTAAAATTATTTACATACTCAAATAAATAAATATGCTTTTTATTGAGTGTGTGTTGCAATTGTAGTTTCACCTAAGTCTCCATTAATTACATAAATTATATATAAAATATTATTTTCAAATTGACGGTTTAAAAATTTTAAGCACAAAATGTGTATACAAATAACAACAAAAAAATTGTATACTTAGATGACACAACTATGCCGTCCAAAATATAGTATTTTTTGCAAACCGAATAAGTATTTATTTTAATATGACAATTTTATTTCTGACTTAAAAGTAGATATGTTGGTTTATACTATTTATCTGTGATGATGTCTAATATCATCTGTGGTTTTACTATGCCAAGGACGATATAATCTATAACGCATTAATGGCGGGAAATTTGTAAATTACTGCGCTAAAAATAAAATCTGGAATTCTAAAAGGTCGCTATTATTTAAAAATTAAAAATCGTTGATTAAAAAATGGAAATATCGCGATGTTCTTGTCGCATATGTTTGTCAGAAAATGAGTTTAATGTTTCTCTGTTCGGAAGTTTCTGTCGAAAAACAAACATGCTTGATAAAATACTCGTCTGCTTAAAACTTGTTATTGAAGAATCAGACTATCTTAACACGATTTGTTACAAGTGCGTTGATAAAATTGAAAATTATTACGATTTTATAACATTTGTTAAAAAGTGTCAAAAAAAATTAGGTAACAGAGAGATGTACGAACGTCAGAGAAATATAAATACCAAAGAGGCGCTGCCAAATCCGATAAACATGCGACATGTAACGTCTAACGTTCGTGAACAAGTGTACGACGCAGATAGTACTTTTTCGTTCCTCGATAGGTCTAATATCGAAGACAAGGAAGACGACAAGTCATCGAGCCCATTTTTCTCCTACTTTTCACCGCCTAACGTTCTTCTAAAACAATCTAATGAACCGTCTATTTGGAAAACTCCACGATCATGGGACGATAGTCTAAAAAAGATAAAACGAGAAGATAATTGTAAGAGTCAATTTAAGCCCGGGAGACCTCGCCACCACTCCAGAGACTTGTTCGAATCTCAAGATGCAGACGAACAGGAATTAAATCATCCTAACTCATTAGACTGGAAGCTTCCCGATAACAATATTATCAAAAAGGTGAGGGAAAAGTGCTTCGGTCGTTCAGACTTTTAGCTTAATATTTACAATATTTTTATTTAAGTTATTTTTGTTTAAGTAAGTTTAAGTGTTACATTTTACCACAACAGTTTATTGAACGTTGTTCCTGAAGTGATTATTTAATGTACCTCATGATTCATTGTACGAGATTTCGTAGAAACAGGCTAAATAAATGCGATTGATTTATGAGTAGTTATAAGTTAATTTTTTAAATTTATCTTTGACATGTGTGAGGATTTGTCCTGATGCAAAATTATAACCGTGTAGACTATTGTAAGTAATGATGTTACTATATTATGTAGCGGTACGGTAAATAGCATCTTTTGTAAGATCTTTGAATGATTAGATACCTTATGAATATACTTTATAATTTAACATTTCTGTATATTTTGTGCCTGCCTTTATACGTGCGAAAAGTATAGACCGATTTTATAAAGCATCTAGATAAAACTGTGTAAATTTTTATGTAGATACCGGTTGGTAAACATTTTGTAATGTAATGTTATATATTAATTTTATGAGTTTGATGAAAATTTGAAACGTTTTTCACTAAAGCGAAGTAAAAATATCAAATTAATACGCCATTATTTTTTCATACATGACTAATATCGAAAAGGTTCTAAAAGTGTTATAATTTTTGTTTTTATCATCCTCCTCAATACTTTGTTCCGGCACATAAATTGCATTGAAGTTCATGTTTTTCCGACAGAATTATTTTTCCGCGCACAAAGACATCTCTATCATTTTATCAATAGCCCTAAAGCCGAATGGGATGTTATAGCTTTGCTACGGATTCGTTGTAGCGTGTGTTGACTTTCAGTTGTTACATTAAAATGGACACAAATAAAATTTTGAAAAAAAAAGAACAATAATATTTTATTTCAAATTTGTCCCGTAGTTTCTCGCCATTGAAATAATAATAATTAATATTATATATGTCTCATATCAATCCGTAAATAATAATAATAAATAATAATCCATAAGCTGAAGTGGCAATGGGCCGGCCATATAGCTCGAAGAACACGAATGACAACCGATGGGGAAGAAACGTTCTCGAATAGCAGCCTCGTAACGGCAGGCGAAGTATAGGGCGTCCCCCTACTAGATGGAGTGACGACCTGGTAAGACATTCAGGAAGTCAATTAATGCAGGTGGCTCGGGACCGTGCTTTGTGGCATTCCTTGGGGAGGTCTATGTTCAGCAGTGTACTTGTGAGGGGTTGTAATGATGATGATGTGTAACTTGTTTGCTTTGTTACATGACTGCCTTTAAACATGAATTAGCCAGCAAATCAATTCTATATGTTTTTTAGGTCCTTGATACAATATAAAGCATACGAAAAACCGTTACACAAGGTGTTAACGGTTTTTCGTACAAGTTTTTTTCTATCACAAATCAGTGCGTGTTGCCAGTGATAAGAATCTGAGTCGTATTCTTTCACTGCAGCCCGTACGATGAAGCCCAAGGTCGCTTAGCGAGCTATGGAGAGAGATGCTCGGAATTGAGGACTTCAGCAACAGAACCAGAGTAACCAATTTATACGGATCGGTAAACTGAAGTGGCAATAATAGGCCGGTAATATAACTCGAAAACGACGACTTGGCAAGACATGCACCAAATTCATGGATGCAGGTGGCTCAGAAGCGTGTTTTGTGGCATAATAGTCATATTGTCATAGACATCATAAATAAACAGAGAACTACTGTGGGTTTGTACTTACACTATAAAGAAAGATAATAAGTTTGGTTGGTAACACATTAAAACAATTTGCTTCAAACAATAGCATATTTTAAATTTGGTAAATGGTTACCAAAAAGGTACTTAACTTAGTCTTGGTACCACTAGAGTACTTCGACGCTGATCTTCCGTGGGATCTTCCCTAGCCATATTATAAATTAAATAAAAATAGCTATACTTAACATGGGCTGTATAACGAATTAAAGAACGAATAGAATTCGAAAGCTGTTGCTAAAAAGAAATCGATGCGGAAAAGATAATCACCAAATTCCTTTCATAAATTTAGTACATCTTAGGTTAATATAACTAATGTTGCCAACCTTATTCGATAACACTAGATTGGTTTGAAAAAAGAAATAGTAAAACTAAAATCTACTGCTGTCATGATAAAATTTAATCTTTATAGTATAGACTACGGTATAAACCACAAGAACATGTAACTATATAAAAGCTAAAATCGTAGACTGGATTAAATTAGAGAGTATAGTAACTGTCCTATACAGGAATAATATAACATAACATGGAATAGATTTATATCCTAGCCTATACTTATAGATTATTATAAAAATAAAACACAAGTAACAGTTAATTCTTGACTTTATTTCGCATCTATATGAAATCGTACACATATTTATTATTCTAGAGAAAATATTCCCTCGCTTACTATCCATACATTATTTATAAATCACATTCAAATTTATGCTAAGTTAATTAAAATTACAACATTTATGGCTGGCAAAAGTTTATAAAAAACGTGACATGAAATAATACTACGTAAAGCTTTGAAGATGCGACAAAACGTAAGTATCTAAAACAGCAATTAAGCCTAACTTAATCTAACTACAGTCTGTTTTAAACAAGTATTAAAATAAGTTGAGCGTACTCGAATAACAAGCTCATACTCCTGTACTCAATATGCTCTTAGATAAATTTTGCGCCGCAAATAACAAAATCTACAAAATACATATATATATTATTTTGAAGCTGTGGTCCCAAAAAACAATGTATCATGCTCAGACCTACAATAAAATTCATTGTCTTTGTTGGTCTATATAAGGCTTATAACAAAGTGAAATACAAATACTGCAAATATAAATCAATTAAAATTATTAAATAAATATATCGGGTAAATAATATTATTATTACCCTGTGTTACCATGCACGAAAATCAAAACACGTTTTCAGGCAATTCTCAATCATACATTGAGTATTATGTAATTACAAATCTAAATTGAAAACGAAGGCTGAAACAATAAACATATAGTATTGACAAAAAGGTAAGAAAAAATAATACGGGTAGAAAATAAAATAAAAATAACGTGTTCGTATAAACGTGCATTTGATAAATTTATATGTATGCTATGAGCAACAAAAATACACTATTCTAAAATCTTAGATCAACAAAGATAGTTGGAACACTGCTCAACTTCTTGACGCGCTCAAGCCACTTCTTTCTTTCTTTATCAGCCCGTACAAGTTCACTACTGCACGGACACAAATAGCGGCGCAAGTCGTGAGCACTAAGCGACAGCATTTGCGCATGTACATTTTCCGGCCGCAGGCGAATGTCCCGCGAATATTCAATGAATGACGAATATCAACTATCGGGTCAATCAAGTGAAAGATTGTTCAACGTGCCTATCCCGCCCTCGCCCTTGTAACTTCACCAAAGAGACCTAAATAAATCGACTATGTGCTCAGGGCTCGTACCGCTACGTATTACACACCTAAAACCTTTTTGTTCTTACAATATTTATAATATATATATATAAATATATATAAATATAATATAGGCTTTGTTTTTGCATCACTTTGAAATGTACGCAGTGCACTGCCTATTTTTGTTTGTTTCTTTGAATCCAAACTAAACGGTTTATAAAAAAAATAATGAAAAGTGATTTGGGGGAACTAGATGGAAAAACTACATGTTACATAATTCGACAACTGTTTAGTAACTTCAATAAACATCTTGTTCATTTTTGCACAAATACAAGAAAGGACAAGACGTTCATTATTCGTAATCAACAACATTTTACTTCGAGTAAAATTCGGCCATAATCAATACATTTCAAATAACAAAAACGATTAAAATAATTTGTGTTTGTTTAAATTGTAATACATCAATTAAATTGAAATTTTATTTTAACCCTTTTGGAGGTTCTTTTGCTATAATATATAAACCTTAAAAATTCTCCGAAATAACGAATAATTATATTTTTGCAAAATATACCGAAGACTTCTATGCATACTACTAAGCCGGCAATTCAGAACAAAAACTATGTCGCGGCAATCAATTGCGTCAATGTCCCCGTTGGGCAGGAGGCCCGGTAAATATGCTACGCAGTTGTATTTTCATTTGCAACAATTATTGTTTTTAGGCAAATACGAAATAAAGTTACATACTTACGGCTCCGTGGCGCAGTGACATAGTAAAGAGTTGTTGCGCTAGGGCCCGCGGGTTCGAATCCCGCACGGAACAAGTATTTGTATGGCCCAAAAATAACTGTTCCGGGTCTGGATGTTTGTCTTTGTACAATTTGTGGTTATAAACTGTCTCCACGATACAGGAGAAAATTCAAGTGTGGGGGGTACGTTTTTTTAACAAAAAAAAAAAGAATGAAAAGAATGAATACTTATCTAATATAAACTTCAAACTAGGTTGACAAAATGCGCACATAAATAATGACCGCGTACCGCGCACGACTAATGAAAGTCACATTAAACAAAATCAGTGTTAGATTGTCGAAATCAACGTTCGCGGTTTACAAAACAAAGAACTGTGTTCTCTTTAATCGCAGTCGGCTAAACAAGTTACGGAGAATCAAACGTAACAATATTAATATACATAGAAGTCTTTAGAATATACAGAAATTTTATTTTAATGTTCAGTCAAGAAAGCATCATTGATCGTAGATAATGTTAACAGAGTCTATGCTAAAATATAGAGATAAAATATTTTTTTAATGGAAGACATTAAATAGATTCAGCGCATCTAGGTAACTCTAATAAGTTTATTAAAGAAATAACGGAAACCCATACTATCCGAATATTTTCTTGAAATCTTGTAAAGCATTTCGACAACGTAGTTCGTAAATTATGGCACTGTTATTGAAATATTAGTGTCGACTGAATTAGTAAAATTAAAAAAAAATCTGATTCAAGTTATTTCCGATCTATGAAATAAATATTAAATTCCTTAATTCGCATACTGGTTGATTATTTTTGAACGATTAATGAGAAATGATTTAAGCTTACTGAATATATAGGTACATAAAAATAAGTCAAGCAACAATAACAATGTACAAGGTATACAACAGATGACAGATGTTAGAAAAAAAAAACTACAGACATTAAAAATATTATCACATAACTTGCCTAATATCTATGGAACTTTACGAAAATATCTAAGCTAAAAACTAGGATGAGATTAAAAAAACACATCATCGTCTCTCTCACTCAGTTACACGAATAATTACAACTTTTCCTTATACAAAAATCAAGCGTGTTCGCAATTCCTTGTCATTTTAAATTTAAATTGAAAAAAAAAAACAATAATATTTTTTATGCCTCAACAATGTAATACTGGAATGAACAAATCATCAACTATGAAGCGGCGATCTCTCGTTGAAGAGGCAATCGGTATTTTTAGTGTAGAGAATCATTATTCTTTTAATATTAATTTTTGGGTTTTATTCAGTATTTTTTTATTCAAACAATTTTCGTAAATGGTCAAAGAGTACAAGATACACCCTTATAAAAACAAAATATTACATAGTTTTAATTCTATTAGGGGCAGCAGATTCAAAAAGTACCACTCATCAAAAAAAATTTATAGATGAAATGATCATAAGGCTACGGCGAAGTGTCACTTCAGAAGAGATCAACTAGAAAACAATCTTCAGTTAGTTTGATAGACACTAAAGCTTTATACATACAGTCTAAAGAAAGCCTACTATAATTTACATTAAATTGTATTAATTGTACACAACACTGAAACATTAGTAGAAAACTTACTTAATCCGAAATATTTCGTATGCAAAGTGCCTTTAAGAAAATGGTGCAGTTTACAATTTATATCGTGAAAATAAAACTGTACACATCCCTTCTACACTGTGGA